CAGTGACAAACAATCTAAATGTTATCAATTTTAAATTCAGGCTGTAACAATTTTTGGGGGTTAAAGTCAAGTGGTGTGAATACTTTCTGAAGGCACTGTATGCGTTTCTACTGTAAAAATAGATGCTAGCCTACAGTCAGTTGGAACTAGGTCAAACAAGGGTGTATATCTGAATAACTTGAGGTTCTGTGTGACTCAACGGTAGGCACCTCGGAGCCGCTTCATGCACTATCTCTGCTAGCTCTAATTTAATGTGACTGACGGAAAAATGTTACCGTCGGGGGTGTGTGTGTATGTGTGTGAGAGCGTGAGTGAGTGACTCTGACTGACATTAACATTATTTTGAATGTGTTTTTTCTTTCTATGGTATTTAGGTGCATTGTGATAACTGGCTGTCTCTTGTGCAACATCTCTAGAAAAGGCATACCTTGGGAATTACAACCGTAAATCTGACTGTAGAAAACCCTGTTTTTACTGCCTGTTGATCTGGAGGGAGATGGGGTAGTAGACACATGGAATATTCAGTCTGGCCAAGAGGGGTTTTATGGGTAACTCACACACACCACAATCTAAATAATGGCTTTAAAATTGAAGTTGGGTTTTTGGTCATGTCAACTGAAGGGATGAGTCTTCATATTGTAGGATGTGTTCCCTTTGAGTAGTAAGCAGCATTGTTGTCTTCCTCACGTAACATTTAATTATAATCTTCAATAAACCTAATCATCTTTAATATCACTGTTTGAGGTATTACACAATCGACCAATCCTCTGAGCACACGCACACACACGCACGCACGCACGCACACACACACACACACACACACACACACACACACACATGCACGTTCAAGACTTTCCCTTGCTTTTTAATCTTTAGAGAATTATGGTTAAATTGTTGCTGCAGGTTTATTAAATATCCTTCTGACAGTGTTATTGATGTATTGTTTTATGTAGCGAGATAAGCGGGGAGAGAGGAGAGACGACGAGAGACCGTAATCTATTAGGGTCAGGGCACACTGCTTTGGAAAGAAAACATTTTTAAGAATCTGACCGCTGTGTATGTGTACGTGTGTGTTGCATCCTCTGGTTGTCTATCTCTCTGTGTGTCTGTCCGTCCATCTGTCAGTATGTCGGTCTGTCTGTCGGTTTGTCTGTTTGGCATGTGCATGTCTATGTATACTGAACAAGAATATAAACGCAACATGCAACAATTTTAACGATTTTACTGAGTTACAGTTCATAGAAGGACATCAGTCAATTGAAATAAATTCATTAGGCCCTAATCTATGGATTTCACATGACTGGGCAGGGGCACAGCCATAGGTGGGCCTGGGAGGGCCAGAGGAGCCAGGCCCAGCCAATCAGAATGAGTTTTTCCCCACAAAAGGGCTTTATTACAGACAGATATACTCCTCAGTTTAATCAGCTGTCCAGGTGGCTGGTCTCAGACGATCCCGCAGTTGAAGAAGCCGCATGTGGAGGTCCTGGGCTGGCACGGTTACACGTGGTCTGTGGTTGTGAGGCCAGTTGGACGTACTGCCAAATTCTCTAAAATGACATTGGAGGCGGCTTATGGTAGAGAAATTAACATTCAATTATCTGGCAACAGCTCTGGTGGACATTTCTGCAGTCAGCATGCCAATTGCACACTCCCTCAAAACTTGAGACATCTGTGGCATTGTGTTGTGTGACAAAACTGCACATTTTAGAGTGGCCTTTCATTGTCCCCAGCACAATGTGCTCCTGTGTAATGATCATGCTGTTTAATCAGCTTCTTGATATGCCACACCTGTCAGGTGGATGGATTATCTTGGCAAAGGAGAAATGCTCACTAACAGGGATGTAAACAAATTTGGGCACCAAATTTGGGATCAATAAGGGGGTGACACTCTAGATCCAAACTGTTATAGACCTATATCCATCCTGCCCTGCCTTTCGAAAGTAGTTGAAAGCCAAGTTAACAAACAGATCACCGACCATTTCGAATCCCACCGTACCTTCTCCGCTATGCAATCCGGTTTCCGAGCTGGTCATGGGTGCACCTCAGCCACGCTCAAGGTCCTAAACGATATTATAAACGCGATCGATAAAAGACAGTACTGCGCAGCCGTCTTCATCGACATGGCCAAGGCTTTCGACTCTGTCAACCACCGCAGACTAAATAGCCTTGGTTTCTCTGACTGCCTCGCCTGGTTCACCAACTACTTCTCAGATAGAGTTCAATGTGTCAAATCGGAGGGCCTGTTGTCTGGACCTCTGGCCGTCTCTATGGGGGTGCCACAGGGTTCAATTCTCGGGCCGACTCTATTCTCTGTGTATATCAATGATGTCGCTCTTGCTGCTGGTGACGCTCGGATCCACCTCTATGCGGACGACACCATTTTGTATACATCTGGCCCTTCATTGGACACTGTGTTAACAAACCTCCAAACGAGCTTCAACGCCATACAACACTCCTTCCGTAGCCTCCAACTGCTCTTAAACACTAGTAAAACTAAATGCATGCTCTTCAACCGAACGCTGCTTGCACCCGCCCACCCGACTAGAATCACTACTCTCAGCGGGTCTGACCTAGAGTATGTGGACAACTACAAATACCTAGGTGTCTGGTTAGACTGTAAACTCTCCTTCCAGATTCACATTAAGCATCTCTAATCAAAAGTTAGATCTAGAATCGGCTTCCTATTTCGCAACAAAGCCTCCTTCACTCATGCTGCCAAACATGCCCTCGTAAAACTGACTATCCTACCGATCCTTGATTTCGGCGATGTCATTTACAAAATAGCCTCCAACACTCTACTCAGCAAATTGGATGTAGTCTATCACAGTGCCATCCGTTTTGTCACCAAAGCCCCATATACTACCCACCATTGTGACCTGTACGCTCTTGTTGGCTGGCCCTCACTACATATTCGTCGCCAAACCCACTGGCTCCAGGTCATCTATAAATCACTGCTAGGCAAATCCCTGTCTTATCTTAGCTCACTGGTCACCATAGCAACACCCACCCGTAGTCTGCGCTCCAGCAGGTATATCTCACTGGTCATCCCCAAAGCCAACATCTCCTTTGGCCGCCATTCCTTCCAGTTCTCTGCTGCAAATGACTGGAACGAACTGCAAAAATCTCTGAAGCTGGAGACTCTTATCTCCCTCACTAACTTTAAGCGTCAGTTGTCAGAGCAGCTTACCGATCACTGCACCTGTACACAGCCTTTCTGAAATTAGCCCACCCAGCTACCTCATCCCCATATTGTTATTTATTTTGCTAATTTGCACCCCAGTATCTCTATTTGCACATCATCTTTTGCACATCTATCATTCCAGTGTTAATACGAAATTGTAACTATTTTGCACTATGGCCTATTTATTGCCTTACCTCCATAACTTACTACATTCGCACACACTGTATATATATTTTCTGTTGTATTTTTGACTTTATGTTTTGTTTACCCCATATGTAACTCTGTGTTGTTTTTATCGCACTGCTTTGCTTTATCTTGCCCAGGTTGCAGTTGTAAATGAGAACTTGTTCTCAACTGGCTTCTTACCTGGTTAAATGAAGGTGAAATAAAAATAAATAAAATAAATTGTGCGTTTGGAAGATTTATGGGATCTTTTATTTAATCTCATAAAACATCGGACCAACCCTTTACATGTTGCGTTTGTATTTTTGTTCACTAAATATGCAGTGTGTATGTTTATCCAGGGCACTATCCTGGTAGTGTGTTTTCTTCAGTTTGTGTGTCTCGGGCCTCAGGCTGGGGGGATAGTCTGGCACATGGGCAGAGAAGAGGTCAAGGTCACCGAAGCGATTAGTGTTCGACATGAATTCCGCCCTGTCACCCGCTGCGGCTCGGCAATTTTAATTACGCTAATACCGTCAGTTACCGTTATCATGTGTTTATTATGGGGACAGAGAGTCAGATCTTATAGGAGAGGAGGCTGTGTGAACCAAACACACCCGTTGATTTTAGTGGTGTACTATTGTTGACATATACCATAGTCTAGTCTACTAGAACCAAGTCTACCTTAAATTATTGTTTTATCACAATGACCTTGAGTAAAGTAAGAAGTAAATTATTTACAACGGTCAGTATTCAGTTGATTATGGCAAATTGGTCTAGGATACAAACACACTGAATGTGTTCTGCTGGTATATTTTGTGTTTCATGAAAAACAAGAAAAAGTATCAAATCACATGCAACCGCTAGACCTATTTGATTTGTAGGTTATGGTCTTGGTTTCTCCTGCAGTTGCTTGTAGTTTTGACTCTAGTGTCTCCTCCGTCTGTATCTGCGCCATACCGCAGCCTAGCCCTAAACTAAAGTCTGTCTCTCACAGGGATGGTAAGGGGGGGGGGGGGTTTAGTCTGATATGATATCTGATTGGCTGTGGCGGATGGAGGTAGAATAGTGATGCTGAAGAGCTCGAGCGGAGTGGACAGATAGAACTCCACCAGGCAGCGGCTCGAGCTGATGTTTGACTGCAAGCTGACTCCGCGAGCATCTCTCCGTATCTCCCGATCCTCCTCGGGCCCGCACCTGGACACACCGTTTCCCGCCCTCTAGAGAGGAGAGGAATACAGCCAACTGCAGGGATGAGAGGATGAAGGAATGAAAGCATGAATAGTCCACTCAGAGAGAGAGTCAGAAAACAGTGAAGCCGCAGAGGATGTGATAGTGGAGAGGTGCGCAGCAGGCAAAATACTTCCAACTCGGATTTCAAAGGGAAAACCAAAAGGACAACCGTTAAAACCATTAGACATGAGATTCAGCTGGTGAATATAGTCCCTCTCTCTGGCCATCGCGAGAGCATCTTGGTTTGGGGAATACATTTTTTCTCTAAATGCTCGTGTGCGGTTAGTGTAGCTCTCGCTCTTGACCGGCGCGCGCGCCTCCCCATCATTACCACGCGAGTGAATCTGATGAGTCCCCGTGGCCGTGTGTTGTTTCGCCGCCGCACGCGTACGCGCCTGGACTTTTCGCGCTTAGCAGCAGCAGCATGTCCTCGCGCAAGATCTCTTCGGAGTCGTTCAGCTCGATGGGATCGGAGTGCCTGGAGAGCCCCGGAGATGATGGCGATTCCTGCCCCTTTTCACGCATCTGGAACGGCAAGAGCCCCGTGGAGAAGCTCGCGTGCCCGTTCGAGGACGCACCGGGACCCAAACGGGCGAACAGACGGAAGCGCGTGAACCTGGACTCGCTCGGGGAGAGTTTGAGGAGATTAACGTCGCCCACGGTAGGATACAGTAACAAAAACCCCAGATAGAGAGATTCTCTCCGGTATTTCTCTCTCCCCTCTGCATGCATCACCTGAGTGGTTACAAAAGGACCAGCACCCTAGAGATGACTGTTAGAATACCAATTGAGAGCGAGAGAGAGAGAGAGAAGATTGGGTAGTAGATTAGGCCTATTCTATATCACTCCTTGCTGGGCGATGAGGTTATTCTGGGTGAGTTTTGGTGAGACTATCTGTTTACCTAGTGTAGTGTAGATGGTTCCCTTTCACCTCCTCTCCTCCACCTGCACTGATGTGAAAGAAGTGGACAGGTGAAATAAAATAGCTGGCCTCCACCTTACAGCATCATTAACCTGTGTTTTCAGAACAGTGTAGGTTAAGGAATAGAAACTAGGACATAAGCTAGATATTAGAGATGCATTTGATGATGATGATTATGATTATGATGATAAAGATACCCTGGTCTTTATACAAGGCTGTTTTCAATTTCCTTGGTCTAAGGGAAGTGTTTAGCTTGCGACTCCCTGGCCAAAAGCAGAGACGCCCCCCACACCCTGGCCAAAAGCAGAGACGCCTCCCACTCCCTGACCAAAAGCAGAGACGCCCCCCACACCCTGGCCAAAAGCAGAGACGCCTCCCACACCCTGGCCAAAAGCAGAGACGCCACCCACACCCTGGCCAAAAGCAGAGACGCCACCCACACCCTGGCCAAAAGCAGAGACGCCACCCACACCCTGGCCAAAAGCAGAGACGCCTCCCACTCCCTGACCAAAAGCAGAGACGCCTCCCACTCCCTGACCAAAAGCAGAGACGCCTCCCACTCCCTGACCAAAACTAAAAAGTAACAGAACAGAGCATGTACTTGGTGTTCACTTCAAAATCAAATTTTATTGGCCACATGCGCCGAATACAACAGGTGCAGACATTACAGTGAAATGCTTACTTACAGCCCTTAACCAACAGTGCATTTATTTCTAATAAAAAAGTAGAACGGTCCTGATACTGTCAACCAGGCCAGCCACAGTGACCCTGACCACAGGACACACACACACACACACAACACCCTGTCGCCACACATTGCACACACATAAACATAAACACAAACATAAACATATCCAGGGAGGTGGTAGTTAGTGGAGAGACCCATAACTGTTCTACAGTAGTGTAGTTCATGAACTTCAAAGGCTGTGTGTGTACTGTGGGACATGTAGCTGTGTCATAGTTTGCACTACATTCCCTAATTAAAGCAGTACACAGACACACTCACATACAAACATACTGCCTTAGAGGAGAGAGAAAGAGGAGGAGAGAGGAGAACTGCTTGAGGAGAGAGAAAGAGGCGAGAGGACAACTGCTTGAGGAGAGAGAAAGAGGAGGAGAGAGGAGAACTGCTTGAGGAGAGAGAAAGAGGAGGAGAGAGGAGAACTGCTTGAGGAGAGAGAAAGAGGAGGGAGAGAGGGAGAAAATGCTTGAGGAGAGAAGAAAAGGAGAGAGAGAAACGCTTGAGGAGAGAGAAAAGAGGAGAGGTAGAACTGTTGAGGAGAGAGAAAGAGGAGAGAGGAGGGGAACTGCTTGAGGCGAGAGAAAAGAGGAGGAGAGAGGAGAACGGCTTGAGGAGAGAAAAGAGGGAGGGGAGGAGATGCTGGAGGAGAGAGAAAGAGGAGGAGAGGAGAATGCTTGAGGTGGAGAGAACAGAGGAGAGAGGAGAACTGCTTGAGGAGAGAGAAAGAGGAGAGAGGAGAACTGCTTGAGGAGAGAGAAAGAGGAGAGAGGAGAACTGCTTGAGGAGAGAGAAAGAGGAGAGAGGAGAACTGCTTGAGAGAGAAAGGGGAGGAGAGAGGAGAACTGCTTGAGGAGAGAAAGAGAAGGAGAGTGGAGAACTGCTTGAGGAGAGAGAAAGATGAGGAGAGAGGAGAACTGCTTGAAGAGAGAGAAAGAGGAGAGAGGAGAAACTGCTTGAGGAGAGAGGATGAGGAGAGAGGAGAACTGCTTGAGGAGAGAGAAAGAGGAGAGAGGAGAACTGCTTGAGGAGAGAGAAAGAGGAGAGAGAGGAGAACTGCTTGAGGAGAGAGAAAGAGGAGAGAGAGGAGAACTGCTTGAGAGAGGAAAGAGGGAGAGAGGAGGAACAGCTTGATGAGGAGGAGAGGGAGAGGAGAGGAAAGTGGAGAGAGAAGAGGAGCAAGAACAGAGTAAGAATAAGCACTATATGACTCAGGCATTGTGTGTGTGGTAGTGTGGGTTGTATGGATCAGCCAGCTGATCCACTGTGTGTTAACAAGCCAACCCACCTTTCATAGCTTATGTGTGTGTGTTTGTATGGATTCATGTACAAGTCTTTGTGATGTGAACATTTCCTTGTCTGTGTCAGTGAAATTTGAGAAAAGATGTGTGCTTGTCATTGTGTTTACTGGTTTGCTGATGGTAATGTGTGGAGAGAGTGAGTGTGTGTGTCGATGATGTACATGCATGTTCTGTGAATGAATGGCTAAGACAAGGACACTCTCATAGGACACACACACACTATGCCTGTATGTATAACGTTAGATGAGCCAGATCCTGATCCCCTGTACACCAGGCCGTAGGGTGACCCCAGACTGACACAGTGTTCTTTTAGCGTTGCTGCAGGATTCTATTAATGTTCATCATATTTAAACCTCTCTCTCACACACACAAACACACGCACATGTACGCGGGCACACACACACACACTGTCTCAGTCAGAGCCCACTGCAGAGGAATTTAAGATGTAAAACTGGATTTTGAATATTTAGAGCTTTCTGTATTTTTGTTGTTGTTGTCATTGTTGATAGGAAATGATTGTTTTTTGTCTATATAAGGTCCCACAGTTGACAGTGCATGTCAGAGCAAAAACCAAGCCATGAGGTCGAAGGAAATATCCATAGAGCTCCGAGACAGGATTGTGTCGAGGCACAGTTCTGGGGAAGGGAACCAAAATATTTCTGCAGCATTGAAGGTCCCCAAGAACACAGTGGCCTCATTCTTAAATGGAAGAAGTTTGGAATCACCAAGACTCTTCCTAGAGCCGGCCACCTTGCCAAACTGAGCAATTGGGGGAGAAGGGCCTTTGTCAGGGAGGTGACCGATAACATGCTATTTAGCAGACGCTTTTATCCAAAGCGACTTACAGTCATGCGTGCATACATTTTTTGTGTATGGGTGGTCCTGGGGATCGAACCCACTACCCTGGCGTTACAAGCGCCGTGCTCTACCAGTTGAGCTACAGAGAACCACAAGAACCAAGAACCCGATGGTTCACTTTCCAACAGGACAACGACCCTAAGAACACAGCCAAGACAACGCAGGAGTGGCTTCTGAAACCAGTCTCTGAATGTCCTTGAGTGGCCCAGCCAGAGCCCGGACTTTAATCCATTCTAACATATCTGGAGAGACCTGAAAATAGTTGTGCAGCGACGCTCCCCATCCAACCTGACAGAGCTTGAGAGGATCTGCAGAGAAGAATGGGAGAAACTCCCCAAATACAGGTGTGCCAAGCTTGTAGCGTCATATCCAAGAAGACTCAAGGCTGTTGTCGCTGCCAAAGGTACTTCAACAAAGTACTGAGTAAAGGGTCTGAATACTTATGTAAATGTAATATATACACTACCGGTCAAAAGTTTGGACACACCTACTCATTCAAGGGTTTTTCTTTATTTTTACTATTTTCTACATTGTAGAATAATAGTGAAGACATCAAAACTATGAAATAACGCATATGGAATCATGTAGTAACCAAAAAAAGTGTTAAACAAATCAAAATACATTTTATATCTGAGATTCTTCAAATAGCCACCCTTTGCCTTGATGACAGCTTTGCACACTCTTGGCATTCTCTCAACCAGCTTCATGAGGTAGTCACCGGAATGCATTTCAATTAACAGGTGTGCCTTCTTAAACGTTAATTTGTGGAATTTATTTCCTTTTTAATGTGTTTGAGCCAATCAGTTGTGTTGTGACAAGGTAGGGGGGGTATACAGAAGATAGCCCTATTTGGTAAAAGACCAAGTCTGTATTATGGCAAGAACAGCTCTAATAAGCAAAGAGAAACGACAGTCCATCATTACTTTAAGACATGAAAGTCAGTCAATCCGGAAAAATTCAAGAAAGTTTCTTCAAGTGCAGTCGCAAAAACCATCAAGCCCTATGATGAAACTGGCTCTCATGAGGACCACCTCAGGAATGGAAGACCCAGTTACCTCTGCTGCAGAGGATAAGTTCATTAGAGTTACCAGCCTCAGAAATTGCAGCCCAAATAAATGCTTCACAGAGTTCAAGTAAGAGACACATCTCAACAGGGGCGGCAGGTAGCTTAGTGGTTAAGAGCGTTGTGCCAGTAACCGAAAGGTCGCTGGTTCTAATCCCCGAGCCAACTAGGTGAAAAATCTGTCGATGTGCCCTTGAGCAAGGCACTTAACTCTAATTGCTCCTGTAAGTCGCTCTGGATAAGAGCGTTTGCTAAATGACGTAAATGTAACATCAACTGTTCAGAGGAGACTGTGTGAATCAGGCCTTCATGGTCGAATTGCTGCAAAGAAATAACTACTAAAGGATACCAACAAGAAGAAGAGACTTGCTTGGGCCAAGAAACACGAGCATTAGACCGGTGGAAATGTGTCCTTTGGTCTGGAGTCCAAATTGGATATTTTTGGTTCCAACCGACCATGTCTTTGTGAGACACGGTGTGTGTGAACGGATGATCTCTGCATGTGTATTTCCCACCGTAAAGCATGGAGGAGGAGGTGTTATGGTGTAGGGGTGCTTTGCTGGTGACACTGTCTGTGATTTATTTAGAATTCAAGGCACACTTAACCAGCATGGCTATCACTGCATTCTGCAGCGATACGCCATCCCATCTGGTTTGGGCTTAGTGGGACTATACTTTGTTTTCCAACAGGACAATGACCCAACACACCTCCAGGCTGTGTAAGGGCTATTTTACCAAGAAGGAGAGTGATGGAGTGCTGCATCAGATGACCTGGCCTCCACAATCCCCCGACCTCAACCAAATTGAGATGGTTTGGGATGAGTCAGACCGCAGAGTGAAGGAAAAGCATCCAACAAGTGCTCAGCATATGTGGGAACTCCATCAAGACTGTTGGAAAAGCATTCCAGGTGAAGCTGGTTGAGAGAATGCCAAGAGTGTGCAAAGCTGTCATCAAGGCAAAGGGTGGCTATTTACTCAAATATAAAATATATTTTGATTTGTTTAACACTTTTTTGGTTACTACATGATTCCATATGTGTTATTTCATAGTTCTGATGTCTTCACTATTATTCTACAATGTAGGAAATAGTAAAAATAAAGAAAAACCCTTGAATGAGTGGGTGTTCTAAAACTTTTGACCGGTAGCGTATATTCTTTTAATCCAGTCAGATAAACACTCCAAGCAGCCTACCCGACCGCTCGGAGGCGTCCGCATGGTCCTAAAGCACACAGTTTTCTCGTTTTGTATCACATTCCAATGATAAAACGGGGGGGACAAAAATGCAATTTCAGACCAGGAAAACAGTGTTCTTATATTTGTCCTATCCCACACATGTACTAGGGTGTATTAATATGCATGTGTGAATTGGAAATGTGTTTTTGCATATCCAAACTCTCCCTGAGACACCCTCGGACCCTGGAGCAATTAGGGTAAGTGCCTTGCTCAAGGGCACATAGACAAACTTTTCACCTTGTCTCCTCGGGGATTCGAACCAGCGACCTTTAGGTTTCTGGCCCAGTAACATTTGTTTTTCCATCTTCTTTCAGACACAGATGGTTCAACAGTCTTTACAGAGAACCTTAGAGTTCTACAGACAGAAAGAGATCAGGTAAGGACTGCTGTGTTGCGTGCGTGTGTATGTGTGTGTGTGTATGTGTGTGTGTGTGTGTGTATGCATGTGTCTGCGCCCTTGAGAATGGTGTAGTAGAGGTACATATAGGTCTTTGGTAAGAGTGAATAAGGAGACTGTGAGTAATGGTTTCTAGTAACATACTGAGGTCACATAAGAGCAAGGCCACTCTCCTTTACAGTTGAAGTCAGAAGTTTACATGCACCTTAGCCAAATACATTTAAACTCAGTTTTTCACAATTCCTGACATTTAATCCTAGTAAAAATTCACTGTCATAGGTCAGTTAGGATCACCACTTTATTTTAAGAATGTGAAATGTCAGAATAATAGTAGAGAGAATGATTTATTTCAGCTTTTATTTATTTCATCACATTCCCAGTGGGTCAGAAGTTTACATAGACTCAATTAGTGTTTGGTAGCATTGCCTTTAAATTGTTTAACTTGGGTCAAACGTTTTGGGTAGCCTTCCACAAGCTTCCCACAATAAGTTGGGTGAATTTTGGCCCATTCCTCCTGACAGAGCTGGTGCAACTGAGTCAGGTTTGTAGGCTCCTTGCTTGCACACGCTTTTTCAGTTCTGCCCACAAATTTTCTATAGGATTGAGGTCAGGGCTTTGTGATGGCCACTCCAATACCTTGACTTTGTTGTCCTTAAGCCATTTTGCCACAACTTTGGAAGTATGCATTGTCCATTTGGAAGACCCAATTGCGACCAAGCTTTAACTTCCTGACTGATGTCTTGAGATGTTGCTTCAATATATCCACATCATTTTCCTTCCTCATGATGCCATCTATTTTGTGAATTGCACCAGTCCCTCCTGCAGCAAAGCACCCCCACAGCATGATGTTGCCACCCCCGTGCGTCACGGTTTGGATGGTGTTCTTTGGCTTGCAAGCATCCCTCTTTTTCCTCCAAACATAACGATGATCATTATGGCCAAACAGTTCTATTTTTGTTTCATCAGACCAGAGGACATTTCTCCAAAAAGTACAATCTTTGTCCCCATGTGCAGTTGCAAACCGTAGTCTGGCTTTTCTATGGTGGTTTTGGAGCAGTGGCTTCTTGCTTGCTGAGCGGCCTTTCAGGTTATGTCGATATAGGACTCGTTTTACTGTGGATATAGATACTTTTGTACCTGTTTCCTCCAGCATCTTCACAAGGTCCTTTGCTGTTGTTCTGGGATTGATTCGCACCAAAGTACGTTCATCTCTAGGAGACAGAACGCGTCTCCATCCTGAGTGGTATGACGGCTGTGTGGTCCCATGGTGTTTATACTTGCGTACTATTGTTTGTACAGATGAACGCGTTACCTTCAGGCATTTGGAAATTGCTCCCAAGTATGAACCAGACTTGTGGAGGTCTACAATTTTTTTTCTGAGATCTTGGCTGATTTCTTTAGATTTTCCCATGATGTCAAGCAAAGAGGCACTGAGTTTGAAGGTAGGCCTTGAAATACATCCACAGGTACACCTCCAATTGACTCAAATGATGTCAATTAGCCTATCAGAAGCTTCTAAAGCCATGACATCATTTTCTGGAATTTTCCAAGCTGTTTAAAGGCACAGTCAACTTAGTGTATGTAAACTTCTGACCCACTGGAATTGTGATACAGTGAATTATAAGTGAAATAATCTGTCTGTAAAAAATTGTTGGGAAAATTACTTGTGTCATGCACAAAGTAGATGTCCTAACCGACTTGCCAAAACTATAGTTTGTTAACAAGACATTTGTGGAGTGGATGAAAAACGAGTTTTAATGACTCCAACTTAAGTGTATGTAAACTTCTGACTTCAACTGTAACTGTTAAAATGTTAAAAACCATGTAACTAATTTATCCGTTACATAACGTGTGTTTGTATTTTGTGTGAACATTGCTCTAGTTAAGTATTACTGTCTGTTGTGTGTTGGTGTGAGTTTCTGTTCAATGCTCTGTGTTTGTGTGTGTGTGGGTGTGCGTTGGTGTGTGTGTGGACGTGCTTAACTATAGAATAGTCAAATAAAATGTTTGACCAACTGGGGACATTTTGTTGGTCCCCACAAGGTCAAATGCTATTTTACGGTTAGAATTAGGTTAGGGTTAGGAGGGATAGTTTTAGGGTTAGGAGCTAGGGTTAGGTTTAGGGTTAGGTTTAAGGTTAGGGTAAGGGTTAGGGTTAGGTTTAGAGTTAGGGGTTAGGGAAAATAAGATTTTGAATGGGACTAAATTGTGTGTCCCCACAAGGTTAGTTATACAAGACTGTGTGTGTGTATGTGTGTTTAGGTGCTCTCCAGCCTGTTACATCATCTCTCTGTCTCCATTCCGTGTGTGTGTGTGTGTGTGTGTGTGTGTGTGTGTGTGTGTTTGTGTGTGTGTGCGTGTGCGTGTGCGTGCGTCAAAGATGCAGAGAGGATGGGAAGGAGGAAAAGACAATGTGTCCCTTTGTGGATAATTCTGGTTCTGGAGAAGAGGCGGACATCTCAGGAATACTACAGTACATGGCTACTCTACAGGGTCAGTATCACTCTACCATGTGTGTGAGTAAGTGTGGTGTGTGTAAGTGTGTGTGAGTAAGTGTGTGTGTGTGTAAGTGTGTGTGAGTAAGTGTGTGTGTGTGTAAGTGTGTGTGAGTAAGTGTGTGTGTGTGCGTGCTTTGAAATACTTTATATGCTCTCTGCTTAGTCTCTGTGTCACATTTAAAGGAGTTTGATTAATGCTGTCTGCTAACTATGCTTTTTGATGTATTGGTGTCTTGAATAACGGTTTGATTTATGTCCAAAAGTGTGTGTGTTTGTGGAATGGGTGTGTGATTTATAGTGCTTACTTGCTGCTTACACTAGAATGATTCTTCAGCTGTACTTTGCAACTAAAAGCAACCTCTCCACACGCATGCACACTAGCTCCTCTGGAACCCTGCAGCAACCTTCTAATGAGGAGAGACATCTCGGTGGAGCTCTGACAAACACACACTTCTTCACCTCTTTCTGCTGTTCTCTTTCTCTCCTCCTTCCTCTCCCTTTCCTGGCTCTCCTACCTCTCATCCTCCCTCCCTCCCTCCCTCCTCTCCCCTAATCGCTCTTTCTCCTCCCTCCATTCTTCTGTCTTGTGCTGCGGTACTGATGGTCATTAGGTTACAGCACAACCTGTTTCTCAGTGTTCTACTTCTCTGTCTCTCTATGTCCCTCTCTCCATCTCTCTCTACCTTCCTCCGTCCAGCTCTCTCTACCGCTCTCCTTCTACCCCCCTCCCTCCAGCTCTCTCTACCTCACTCTCCCTACCTTCCTCCCTCCATCTCTCTCTACCTCCCTCCCTCCACCTCTCTCTACCTCCCTCCATCTCTCTACCTCCCTCCCTCCCTCCACCTTCCTCTACCTCCCTCCCTCCACCTCTCTCTACCTCCCTCCCTCTCTCTCTCCCTACCTACCTACCCTCCCTCCCTCCCTCCCTCCCCTCCCTCCCTCCCTCCCTCCCTCCCTCCCTCCCTACATTTATCTCTACCTCCCTACATTTCCCTCTACCACCCTCCCTCCATCTCTCTCTCTCTCTCTCTCTCTCTCTCTCTCTACCTCCCTCCCTCCACCTCTCTCTACCTCCCTCCCTCCATCTCTCTCTCTATACCTCCCTCCCTCCATCTCTCTCTACTTCCCTCCCTCCCTTCATCTCTCCCTCCCTCCCTCTGCCTTCCCCTCCCTCCCCCTCCCTCCCTGCCTCCCTTCCTCCCTCCCACCATCTCTCTCTACCTTCCTCCCTCCATCTCTCTCTACCACCCTCCCTTCACCTCTCTCTACTTCCCTCCCTCCCTTCATCTCTCTCTCCTCCCTCCCCTCCCTCCCTCCCTCCCTCCCTCCCTCCCTCCCTCCCTCCCACCACTCTCTCTCTACTACCTTCCTCCCCTCCATCTCCCTCTACCACCCCAACCCCTCCTCCCTCCCTCCCTCCATCTCTCTCTCTCTCTCTCTCTCTTCTCTCTCTCCCTCTCTCTCTCTCTCTCTCTCTCTCTCTCTCTCTCTCTCTCTCTCTCCCCTCTCTCCTCTCCTCCTCTCTCCTCCCCCCCCGTCCTCTCTACCTTCCCTCCCTCCCTACCTCTCCTCCCCTATCTACCTCCCTCCCTCCATCTTCTCTCTCTCCTCCTCCCTCTCTCCTCCCTCCCCTCATCTCTCCTATCTCCCTCCCTCCACCTCTCTCCACCTCCCGCCCTCCATCTCTCTCTCTTAATACCTCCCTCCCTCCCTCCATCTCTCTCTACTTCCCTCCTCCTCCTCCCTCCCTCCCTCTGCCTTCCCCTCCCTCCCTCCCTCCCCCCTCCCCCCTCCCTCCCTCCCTCCCTCCCTCCCTCCCTCCATCTTTCTCTCTCCACTTCCATCCCTCCCTCCATATCTCTCTACCTTCCTCCCTCCATCTCCCTCCTACCACCCTCCCTCCAGCTCTCTCTCTACCTCCCTCCCTCCACCTCTCTCTAACCACCCCCCCTCCCTCCATCTCTCTCTCTATACCTCCCTCCCTCCACCCCTCCCTCCATCTCTCTCTACCCCTCCATCTCTACCTCCCTCCCTCTACCTCCCTCCCTCCCTCCCTCCCATCTCTCTCACTCCCTCCCTCCATCTCTCTCTAACCCTCCCTCCCTCTACCTCCCTCCTCCATCTCTCTCTACCTCCCTCCCTCCATCTCCCTCTACCTCCCTCCCTCTACCTTCCTCTCTCTATCTCCCTCTACCCTCCTTCCCTCCCTCCATCTCCCTCTACCTTCCTCTCTCCATCTCCTTCTACCTTCCTCTCTAACTCCCTCCTCCATCTGTCTACCTCCCTCCCTACATCTCTCTCTACCTCCCTCCCTCTACCTTCCTCTCTCTATCTCCCTCTACCTCCCTCCCTCTACCTTCCTCTCTATATCTCTCTACCTCCCTCCCTCCATCTCTCTACCTCCCTTCTCTCTACCTTCCTCTCTCTATCTCCCTCTACCTCCCTCCCTCCATCTCTCTCTACCTCCCTCCCTCTACCTTCCTCTCTCTATCTCCCTCTACCTCCCTCCCTCCCTCCATCTCCCTCTACCTTCCTCTCTCCATCTCCTTCTACCTTCCTCTCTAACTCCCTCCTCCCTCCCTACAGCTCTCTCTACCTCCCTCCCTCCATCTCTCTCTACCTCCCTCTCTCCATCTCTCTCTACGTCCCTCCCTCCAGCTCTCTCTACCTCGCTCTCTCCATCTCTGTCTCAGCCGTGACATGCCTGTAAATGTCAGCATGCTCCTCACCATACCCTCATTACCTAACCCACCTCTGTGTGTGTGTGTGGTTTGTAGGTTTTGTGTGTTGTCCAGCCTGTTGTGGTCTCTCTGTTTGTTATGCATCAGGGTTGACTGATCAGTCAGACAAACAGCAGCTGTCTGTGTGTGTGTGTGCTCTAAAGCTGACTCCAGATCAGTGTTCTGCTCTGCTTGTCCTTCACAGTAAATAACTCCCTACAGCCCAGCCATGGCACTCCAGCTGTGTTTGTTTATTTTTATGTTGTGGTTGAGTTGTCCTTACGTTGTCCTGATGTTGTAGTTGTGTTGTCCTTACGTTGTCCTGATGTTGTAGTTGTGTTGTCCTTACATTGTCCTGATGTTGTAGTTGTGTTGTCCTTACGTTGTCCTGATGTTGTAGTTGTGTTGTCCTTACGTTGTCCTGATGTTGTAGTTGTGTTGTCCTTACATTGTCCTGATGTTGTAGTTGTGTTGTCCTTACGTTGTCCTGATGTTGTAGTTGTGTTGTCTTTACGTTGTCCTGATGTTGTAGTTGTGTTGTCCTTACGTTGTCCTGATGTTGTAGTTGTGTTGTCCTTACGTTGTCCTGATGTTGTAGTTGTGTTGTCCTTACGTTGTCCTGATGTTGTAGTTGTGTTGTCTTTACGTTGTCCTGATGTTGTAGTTGTGTTGTCCTTACGTTGTCCTGATGTTGTAGTTGTGTTGTCCTTACGTTGTCCTGATGTTGTAGTTGTGTTGTCCTTACGTTGTCCTGATGTTGTAGTTGTGTTG